GGCGGCAGTTCTGATATATCCATTTTAAGGCCTGCAAACAATCACAAACAACCATCTCAACCACAAAGGTAGCGCACTATTCTAAATACTATAGAAGACTAGCAGACGACTTCCAGGAAGTGAGATAACTACTCAGACGACTTCCTGGAAGTCTTCTACAGAGTCTTACTCTCTGGACGACTTACATGTAAGTCGTCCAAAGAGTAAGACTTCGTAGAAGGCTTCCAAGAAGTGAGAAGACTACTCAGACGACTTCCTGGAAGTCTTCTACAGAGTCTTACTCTCTGGACGACTTACATGTAAGTCGTCCAGAGAGTAAGACTTCGTAGAAGGCTTCCAGGAAGTGAGAAGACTACTCAGACGACTTACAGTCGGAGAAGATTTAGACGGAGAAGATGTGAAAAGAAGAGTTGTTCCTAGCGGTTACAGATCTGCATATCGAAGGGAAAAGACGAGTCAAGACTACAATTTTTAGGGTTTTCCGGCGGCTAAACGCCTTAAAACATAAGATATAACATACCGGCGGCGAAGGAAAGGGCTACGAGATTTCAGATCTGAAAAAAAGGAAGGGGATGGTCAGTTTAAACTATGAAAATACTCTAAGCCATGAAAGAAAAACAAGATTCGTCGAAATCGGAGAGATTACCGGCGAAAACGGAGAGATTCGTCGAAATCGGAGAGATTCGTCGAAATCGCCTTTACAATCGTCCATGGAGAGAAACGGCGCTAGGGTTTCGGAAAGTTGTGAAAAAGTGAAAAAAATAGCTTTTATATGTCCGGTAAAAATCCGGTTCGGTTAAAACGTAAAATGTTAAAATTAACGGTTCGGTACAATTAGACGACTGAAATTTCAGTCGTCTGGGAAATAATTTAAAGCAGACGACTGAAATTTCAGTCGTCTGTGAAATAATTTAAAGCAGACGACTGAAATTTCAGTCGTCTGGGAAATAATTTAAAGCTTAGTCGTCTGGGAAATAATTTAAAGCAGACGACTGAAATTTCAGTCGTCTGGGAAATAATTTAAAGCAGACGACTGAAATTCTAATCCCTAAACATAACCCCTAAACTTTATTCTCTAATTAAACACTTCGAAACTTTAAATTAAACTTGAAAAATGTTTACTATACACAGAAATAAACACATAGAGGTCAAATTAATTTTTTCAAAAAAAACATTTCATCTTTTCAAAATCTAACCCTAAGATTACATACAATACTACAACATATGTTTGCCAAACCCTTAAACCAAAGAATATCATGATTCACTACTTCCACTCATCTATGCTGAAAACAAATNGACTGAAAAGTAACTCAGCCCGACTCAGACAACTTACTGGGGTTATATTCGTAAAAATGTCTTCTGTTTTTTTGTTTGGTCACAGAGGACTATATTGTAATTTCATAGCCCTTTTAGGTTAGATTTGCATTTGATTCAAGTTGGGGTCTAGTATTGGGGTTAAAACCAAGTTGTGGGTTAGTTTTGGCAAAAAACCCTATAATTATTATATAATTAACACAAATTTATCCTATTATATTTTTAGAAAATAAACAACTTATGCATTATATTTTTATTTTGAAAATATGTATTCTATTGTAAAATGTAAAATTAAGATATAAAAAATTACAATCAAATATAAATTAAGGAAAAATATTTGTATAAATATTATAATTAAGTATAAATCAAGCAAAATAATTATAGAAATATATTCTTTTAAATATTTATGATGTTTGAGTTTTGTCATTGCTAATTATTTGATGTTTTATTTGTACTTTTGAAAAACATAAATAATAATTTATTATGCTGATTTTTAAACTAATAAAACATTAGCTAATAAATATTTATAAGAGAATTATGTCTGCATGTGCGGGCAAAACACCTAATAAACTATTAAAACTGTAGGTTATAGTAAAAAGAAGAGTATCTCTGATATATGTTGTTTGCATGTTGTATATAGTTTTATTTCTACTTTTGTTCTTATGATAAAATAACTTATTAGTTTGTCAAAATAGAAAAACTATATTTTTTATTTAAATATGTTATCTAAGTAAGAGTTACTGCACAAAAAAAAAATTATTTATAATATATAATATTAGAGAACATATTATCGGTTTTGAATAAGTATCAGTGATTATAAAGTTCTATATATTTTACATATAGTAGATAATGCATGAAATGAGTTGTTATGTGGAGCTATATATTGCATACATATTTTGTAGTATAATAAAAAATTGATTTGTTTGTGGAATTCCAATCCACGGTTGAAAGTACATAAACCTTTGAAGGTGTTGAATTGTTTTTTAAAAAAAATTATTGGTAGCTTATTCTTAGTTGTAGAGGAGCCATCAAGAAACAGAAAATACTTAACCCACCAAATTAAGAAACATAACAGACTTGCTTAGTTTTGTTTAAAAATAAAACAGTTTTGCTCAAAAATAGTTTTGCTCGTTAAACAGAACACACTTAACCCACCAAATAAAGAAACAGAACACACTTAAACCCACCAAATCAAGAAACAGAACACACTTTACTCAGTTAAACAGAACACTACACATCACCTTAAAGTTATAGACTTTTAAGTACCTCAATCTTGCTTCCATCGAGGATGTTCTGAAAGGAAGGCACCAATTCGACAATGTGATCACTAACAGAGAGAGAACTTCTATTTCTCTTATCCACATGGTTTTCTTCTCACTATGTAACGGCGCTAGCCTCCATTGTTGCCCCAGAATCACAGCTTCATATTGAAATTCAAACTCATAACCATGTATGAATGTTAATATCACATAAACATTCAAAGCTAAAGTTAAGTACCGTAGAGATTGGTAATAGCGTTTGAGATGGCTAAAGCAGGACAAACTCCTTCACCAAAACCTAACATGTCTTCACCAAGCAGCAGCTTCGCCATCCTCTCTTTCAACAACTCAACTTCTATAAAAAAAACAACAAAAAGTGTAAAAACTTTGTCGTCTGTGAAACCGAGAGATTGATTTTAACAAACCTGAAGTCTCTGTTCCGATTCTCTTAAACCCAAAGGTCTCAACTTTGGTCAGAGTTTTCGTCATCATCTTCTTCCCTGAACTCTTCCTCCATGATCCTTGCCCTAACGGCCATCCAAGGAGCTAAGATTTCGTCGGAGGAGATGACAACGAAGATACAGATCTCTTGGAGCTCGATCCAGTACCACAGCTAGAGCTGCTAAGGCTTGAATCGGTTATTGACTTGATCACTGAGTCAATAACGATTATTTTGCTCTCACCGTAACGTTTAGATCCTTCAAACCCAACATAGCTATCCTCCATTTTTAGCAACAAAGATCCAAAAAGTGATGGAAGAAGTCTATTACTCTATCACCAGGACTTGTTGAAACTACTGCATTCTCCATATAAATGCAACAAACATATTTTTTGACTGATTGCTTGATTTATCTCAACCACAGCATGACAAAGAAAAATAAGAAGTATATCAGCATTGATGCGAGGGCAGTTCTTGTAGTACTAAATCCAGCTTACGAGTATAATATGAATTTGTTTGCAGTGGTACCATATGCCGTGAACCCTGAAGAACAACTTGAAGATTTCCGAACATTGCACACACAAAGTATAATGCCTTCTCCTCTGGTGTTTCCTTTGCAACCTGCAACTCAAGCAGCCTTAGAACTCTCATCCATAACAAAGGACAGACCAAAAGTATAAAAGCACACTAACCAGATTTTTAGGGACAATGCAACGCCCAATTGCTCAGCACTATACCCAAATTTTGTTTGCAACCTCCCCTAGCCCCGCTTAGCTGCATATGCTGTCGCTTAGTTCTAAATTTTGAACTTGCATTCTCCTGCCGCTTAGCTGCATATATTCTCTTGAACCACCCTTCATCAATACATCCTACACCGGCAGGAGAAAGAAATTTCAAGTTGGGATCCACATCATCAGCTTTTCTTTATAGTTATGCCACTTTAAGAGACATTAATGAATTATTCAAAGAAGATATTGATTTTGGTAATGCCTAGGATCGAATTGATACCTTATGCCTCTACTGGCACCTCCCCAGTTACAGAGCTCACTACCAGTTTTAGTTGACATATTCCTCTAAACGCCGTGAAAAGAAACCTAGGCTACAACTTGCAGCTGATGCATGAAAACATTCAGATTTTAAATAGAATTAACCAAGCATAAAAATATCTTTGTAACACAGGAACTACAATATAGATGGTAAAAGACAAAACATGTTCATACACTCATAACTAAAGCAATAATGTTTTTTTTTGTAATATGATTTTTTACTGGTTCATGGTTAACATGGCTCAAGCTATTTATATTAATTGGTAAAAAGCTCGAACCTTTTGGGACAAATCGACTCCAAGTCATCATATTATGGGATTGAATTCTATGATGCCACAGTCACCCCCTTCCTCATTTTAATTCAACACACCAATAAAAAAGAATATAATTTTTATTATATTTTAATAGAAAACATGGTAAAAATCGAAATTGTCCTTCATGAAACCAACTATTTACATGATCCAACCTAAACTATTTGCCTTACCCGGATCCCTAACCTAACCCATCTCTTTTCCCCTTTTCCCTTTTGTCGTGTCCCCTTCTTTTTTAGATAGCAAGCCCTAAAATTGAAAACCCCCAACGATATCCCCAATCTCTTCCTCTCTTTCCCTATAACGGAAACCGGCGAACACAATGAATCCGTCCACTGCATTCACCGCTTCTTCTCATGTCTTCCCTTAACCCCTCGTCCATCGTCCCCTTCTTTGTTTCTCAGATTTCATCATTTCCCCAAATTGGCCAGTAACCCTAGAAATCGTCTTCCATCTCCTCTTTTCCTTCTCGTCTCTTTCGTGTAAAAGGTATGTTCTTCCTCCATTTTTCGATTGATTTTGGTGTGGGTTTGAAAGGATTGTGGTTGAAAAAGCGATTAGGTTCAGATTCATTTCAGTTTTTGGTTTCGGATTTGAGATAAGTTTAGTGATGATTGTCGCTTATGGCCATAATTTAGACTAACAATTTTAGTGATAGAATGTTTGTTATGTGAAACCAATTCTGAGTGATAGAATGTTTGTGATTTAGTGATCGAACTATTGACTGCTTGGAGTTTTATTATTGAATGAATAGTTTTGGGATAACAAAATAATGATTGTGATGCTTTTCTTTTGAATGTTTGGTGATTTATTTAGGCATTAGCTAATTGTTTGTTGTTTTTGGATTATCAAAGTAATGACAGGCCTTAAGAAGCGTGGACAGAAGAAGCAGTGTAAAAATAACAAGAAGAAGTCCACAAGTGAAGAGCAGCATGTAGAAGAGCTTTCAACCGAGAATGATAGCGATGATTTGGCAGCACATGGAAATGACTCTGATCATCTGTCTACACACGAGAATGACACTGATCATCAGTCTGCTTCATCTCAGGTATTATTCCAAAAAAAGGGTTAATGGTGTATTACTGGTTTGACTAGTATTACTAGGATAAAAAATATATGATTTAATCTACTTAATAAATAAGTGCTAATATAATTTTTATCTGGTTTACAGGAATGCCAACCACTGCCACCTGATGAGCTATACTTCAAGAACACCGAGTTCACCAAGACGTGTAAGATACAGAGCAAGTGTTATGTGAGCAAGACGGTGAAGTTCCTGAAGAAGCCTCGGTTTAAGCCTGAGTTGGAGTGGTTTGAAAAACACTCTCAGTTTTGCCATTTCTTCCACATGCCCGATGAACCAAACTTGAAGCTGATGGGTATGTGGATGCTTCTACTGCGCACGGTTCCTTTACACGAGCAAGAGGACACAGCTTGGTTTGTTGTTAATAGCGTGCCCATTCGGTATTCAATTAGAGAGCATGCACTCATCTCGGGATTGGACTGCTGTGACTACCCACCTAAGTATAAGAAAATTGGGAGCTATGATTTTGTAGACAGACATTTCAAATCATATAAGGAGATAACGATGAAATCTGTGAAAGCGAAGTTGTTGAGTATGAGTGCGTGTGGAGATCGACTCAAGATGGCGATACTTTACTTCTTAGGCACGATTATCAGAGCGAAGGGAAGGTATAATGCCCCTTTTGACTCTTTCATATTAAGAGTCGTCGACAAAGTAGAGGTTTGTGAAACCTTTCCTTGGGGTCGCTTGACGTTTGATGATGTTGTACGGTCCATCAATCACGTTATGAAGCATCTGAAGGGGAAACCTAAGAAGAATGTCAACTTTCCTGGATTCATAATTCCTTTGGAGGTAAATTTTTCATCTTTATATAATTGTTTTTATTTTGTGAAGCAGCTCTGGCTGGTGTGTTTTGACATTTAGGTTCTGGCATTTGAGCGTATTGTCTAAGCAGCTGCCCGAGGATGTGCAAGCATCAGTTCCAAAGTACCAGCATGAAAGGTTATCCACTTGAGGATTTGTACACCATACTTGGAAAAACTACGGTATGTGTTAAATATTGTTTTATTTTTATTAAGTGAGTAGGATATAATATGTGTTCGATAGTGTTTTGGTATTTTTTCCAGGTTATTAATAGTGTTATGGTTCCTACTGTTGATGAGGAACCTCTCATGGCACGTATAACAGAGGGAGAGGCAGACTATGAAAAAGAAGAAGGAGTAAGTAATTTGTGGAGCACATGGCTTGCTGTTAAGGAGAAGCCTATCTTTTGGCAAGAACTCTTTGACCTAGATGTGGCTGCAAGGGAGTTTCCTATGAAGAAAGACAAAGGAAAAGTGAATGAAGAAGCATCCTCCTCTAATGCAAGTGTGGAGGACGTTTTAAAAGTGTTTGAAGAGAGGTTAATGACAAGTTTGAGTGAAGTGGTTGTGAAGGTGGAGACGATGGACAAGAGGCTTGGCGTCTTGGAAAAAAGCCAGATTGTTTTGAAAAGGAGGTGTAAGAGAATGAAGGCGAAGGAGAAAAGCCTGAAGAGGATTAAAAAGAAGGCCGGGAAGCAGAAGAGAATGGAGGGGAGGCTTGATGACATTTGAAAAAATATTAAAGCGGAAGGAGAACGAGAACAGTGAGGGTTTCGACTACCAAAACATGGATTTCGAGTGGGATAGGAGAGGAGGCGATGAGAAAGAGAGTGAAAAAGAGGCTGACAAGGAAAATAAAAGTTTTGAGGAAGGGAAAGAATTTGAAGCTGAAGCTCAAGCGGAAGAAGACAAAGAATTGGTACATGGTTCATGGTTGTGTATGAAGGCAGTACATGTGAAACGAAGGAAAAAGAGAAGCCTGCTCGTGCTGGGATCAAGCGTAGGCCAAAGCAAATGGCGGTGAGGAAGCATGCTCCTAAGCTGAGGGGTAGACCGAGAAAGGATTCTCAGCCAAAAAAGTTCACAACGCCAACACAGACAAAAAGGACACGCACACGTTCGCAGTGGGTTTCCACTCCTTTCACTGAAGCTAACAATGATGAGATTGAAGGGCGCAAGAAGAAGCCTAGAACAAAGGCATAGAAGGCAACTAGCTTAAAATATTTTGGGTGTTTGATATTTATCTCGGCTTTTGTTGTGAACTTATGTAGGATGCTATGTTTCATTGCTTGTTGGTTTGTAAAACTTGAATTCTATCTCATATGTAGGATACTTTGTGTTGTTTTATTATGTTTTGCAGCAGGTTTGGTCCAATTGAGGACAAGACAATCTAAGTCTTAAGAAAGCACATTTGTACTACTAGGATTATTATGTATTACTAAGACTAAAATATTGTCTTAAACTTTAAGAAAAAAAAAAAAATATAAACCTACTCCACTTGTAAAAAAAATTCAACGAAAAAACATGTCTAAAACGTGTTAAAAAAATTCAACCAAAAAACATGTCTAAAACGTGTTAAAAAGAAGAAAACGTGTTAAAAAGAAGAAAACACATATGTGAATATTTACACTTAGTAGTACTCAAGCTGTTAGTAATATTTCCTTCTTCATAGTAATACTTTTGCAAATTACAACATTTTTTTAGTAATACAATGTCATTAAATTAAATATATTAGTAATACCATATATTTTGAAAGATTTAGATTGTATATGACACATTGGCAGAAATTTTTTTTAGAAAATATGT